TATGTATATTATATATACATATATATATTCTTTGGTCCTGGGGTTGAGCTCAGGAACAAGGTCACAAATGCACTGTCTCACTAAGCCTTAATTTGAGATGTGTTTAGTGTTTTAGAAGTAAATGGCCCTATCTTTACAAAGGAATCCTCTTTATGCAGCAGGAGAAATTTTAAAAATTTAAATATTACATATATGACATTCTCTTCTGTAGGCATGAGCAGGATTCTGTCGTTACATAAACAGGATCACAATTCAAAAGTCAGAAACAAGCCATTCACAGTTTCACTTATATTTTTAATAAAATATGTTGCAGGAGTATTCTCATTACAGAAGAAGTAATCTAAACACCTTCTCACATATTCATAAGAATAAAACTTTATTCCAACAGAGTTCCACTGCAGATAAGAGTCTTAAAATGAAGACCCACTTTTAAATGAACCCTAGATAATTCTAGAAGTTTTAACAATTTACTATGCCCAAACCCTTTGTTTTCTCATTTTAGATAAAATGTATATATTAAGACAAGTGAAAGAGATACTGGATCTACACTGTTTACTTAGAAAATAAAGCGGGAAACCAAGCTCACAGAACATGCCCAGCTCTGGGTTTAACTTGGATAGAGAAGAAAACAAGAATAAATGGTAGTTACTGTTTCTTAGGTAGGGAAGGATATCAGCACAGGGACTAGACGTGGAACAGGCAATGGAAACCAAGTTCAAGGCAACATTGATGTTCAAGGGCAACACTGAGCCTAACAGATACACTGCACAGCAAGAGGAGAAAACATTTCAGTGGCCACCTTTCCCAAAAAGTAGAAAGAACAAGGAAGAACGCTGAAGAGGAAGAATAGAAGAAAGCAAAGAACAGAAGGGAGAAGAGAAAACAGCCCCACACGGAAACAGGGACTAGGGGAAACTCCTCTGCCTCAGTCAGCCTGTGATTCTCTTTATGGTTCTCCTCACAGCAACTTTGACATCTTTGTTCCTGAGGCTGTATATGAGAGGATTCAACATGGGCACCACAATAGTATAAAACACTGAGAAAACTTTCCCCTGGTCCACAGACATAGCAGATGATGGCTTGACATAAGTTAGCAGACCAGATCCATAGAATAAAGTAACAGTTATGATGTGAGACCCACAAGTTTCCATGGCCTTAGACCAATCATTACCTGAAGACATCTGAATGATATTTAAAAGGATCATAGCATAGGAGGTTAAGATAATCAAGCTAGAGAAAATGAGAAATGTACCTACTATAAGAGAGCTCACAAGTTCGTTGGCATAGGTGCTGCTGCAGGAGAGCTGAAGGAGAGGGGAGATGTCACACATGTAGTGGTTGATGGTATTCTTATCACAAAAGCTGAGCCTGATCATAAACCCTGTGTGGACCATTGCACCAGCAAACCCCATCAAATATATTATAAACATTAACAGGCAGCAGAACCTAGGACACATGACAACCATGTACAGCAGAGGCTGACAGATGGCCACATAGCGATCATAGGCCATAGCTGTCAGCACATAACACTCAGAGCTGACAAAAAAGGAGAAGAAAAACAACTGAGTCATGCATCCTCTGAAGGAGATGGTGTTCTTCTCTGAAACAAAACTCATCAGCATTTTGGGGGTACAGACAAATGAGTAACAGAAATCAATGAAGGACAGATTGAAGAGGAAAAAGTACATGGGAGTATGGAGATGTGAATTCAGAAAAATGAGATTCATTATGCTCAAGTTTCCCAGCACAGTGGCTGCATAGTTGACCAGGAACAGCACAAAGAGGGGCAGCTGGAGCTCAGGTTGGTCTGTTAATCCCACAAGAATGAACTCAGTCACTGCAGAGTCATTCTCCATAGCCATTAATTTCCCTGGCGGATCTGTAGGAAAAGACAAAATGTGGCATTACCATAAAATGCTGCATCCTTGACTCCAGAGGTAGAGCTCACCCTGTTTGTTGAATGTTGTGTGGACATGGTAAAGCATCCGAAGAGCTGAACTTTCCATATTGATTCCCAAAGAATCCTCGGTTCCTACTTCTACCACTCGTGACTTGTGTCTATCCTAATATAATTCTGATGGAGCTCCCAATGGCTCTGAGGATCTTTCCTTCCTTTTCCTTAGTCGTCATTAAGGATTAGGTCAACCAGAGTGCATGATCATTAGCTCTCACTTTGAATGAAAGAATATTATTAAGCAAGGCAAAGATGACTAAAAGCATACCTTTGTTTCCCTGGAGGCAGCACCGCTACTGAAGATCGCAGCTGCTTCCTCCTCTCCATCTTGAGAGATCAAAATAGCCAATAATGATGCAGGCAAGACAGTTAAGTAGATAGGTATGTCTATGACCTGCTAGAGAAGGTTAACTTGGGGAATATGAAATTACTTCTATTTGAGTACTTCTCCAGAAGTTTTAACATGCACAAAAGAAAATAGTGCTCTTATATTAGCCTCTAAATCTTCACCCCACTCAAATGAGAGATTATTTCAGTGCCCAGACATGGAAAATTCGCAGAAAATCATTCTCTCTGTGTTGATTGCCTCCCAAATTGCATGAAACCTCTTGAGAGTGGAAATTGCTGACCTATGTTTATATCATTACTGTGTATCTAAACCGGATCATTTGGTAATCTAAATTCAGCTCAATTTATAATTTCCCAAGAGGAATACCTGGTCCCCAAGGCAGAATTGTGGGTGGTCTCCTTTGTTGTTCTCCTCATTAAGCCCTTCACAACTCTAGAACATAATCCCTGGTAATTCTAAGTATTTTACTACAAGCCTCTGGTATTACATTCATAAATATTAGATAATAGGTTGACACTCTGCAGAAGAGATTTTACAACAAAGAGGTTGAAAGAATAGGGGTATCCACTCCCCAGTCAGCCCCATACTTTTACCTTTCCAACTATGAAAATAGGCAAGTGATATGGCTTCTCTAACCCTTGTTTATTTATATTTAAATCTGAGTATTCCTGTGTACATCTCTAAAACAAGGCTCATAAAAAGGAATTTGTTGGCTGGAGAGTTGCTCACTGGTTAAGAGGACAGGCTGCTCTTGCAGACACCTGAAATCATATGGGTTCCCAGGACCCATATGGCAGCTAACAGTCATCTATAACTCTGGTTCCAGGTACTGCAATGCCATCTTCTGATCTCCACAAGCATAACACACACATGGTGCACTTACATACATGCAGGTGAAATAGTCATACACATAAAATACAAATAAATTAATTTTTTAATGAGGTGTTTTCTGGCTCAGTAACAGAGACCTTTTGTTGCATACATAGGTTTGTGGGATCAATTCCAGCATGACAATAAAATAAAATAATAAAAATACCTAAGTGTGTGGTTTTATTAATTAAATGAGATGATTGATTTGGTTTTGTTAATTAAATGAGATGATTGATTTACATAATGTACTAGAACTGTGATACACATTTAAGGAGAATGATGGGTATTATTTCAACTTCCTTGGTTCTACGTCCTTATTCATATGAGTTCAAGTTGTTCAGCTTGGCACTTTTGACACTTGGATAAATATTTGTTATGCTGGAAT